CATGATTGTACTCTATTTTGTGTTGTGAAATTACTGAAAGAGAAACCACTCCTTTTGTTAATATTCGACTGATGTTTAATTCTTGTTTTTAATTGTCTTTTGATCTGACCAACATATGTGATGTTGCAGTCTTTACAGTTAATTTTGTAAACCATATTATAGCGTGCTGAAACATTTAAACCGGATCTTTACCAGCTTTATATATTTTTATTTAAGAGATTAGATATAGAATAGGATAATTTAAAATTTTTAAATGATCCTACTTAATAGTTGGATCAGACATGATATAAAAAGAATAAGAATAACAAAATTAATAAATCATCGTGAAAAACAAAATTAAGTTAATAATAAATAATAGATATTATGATTTAATAATAACTGTAAAGCGATCATATCTGACCTTGATGAAATCAAGACCGGATCAATTGGAAGTAAAATATCTTAGAGACTCACCGTGACAAAGATGTAAATGTGAAAATGAAAATAAAGAAAGAGATGGAAGAAGAAACGTTAGATAAGGGAAGAGAAAAAAATTATAAGATTGGATAAAGAAGAGCAAAAATCAATAGGGAGAGAGGGAATTAAAAATTGATAAATAGGCATTTGAAAGCAGGTCCATATTGCTTTGTTGTTGAGATCGTGTGGCTGTGTTTTAACGTGTAACATTTCAGAAATCAATCTCTTGATGAAGAAAATTTCATTATCTAAAATTTCCTTGTTCCAATCGAAGGCATGATTCTCAGAAAGTTGATGCATAGACAAAACTGACAGAGATTCATTTTTTTTATTAATATCTATTCGTGAACTCTAGTCTTTAATTTTCTTTTTATTTATCCCACGTATGTAGCATCACAATTAAATTTGATATGTATCGAATAACGTTTTATTTAATTTGTTTTTGCATTGATGACCGGATAATTGAAGATCGAAACGTTTGCGTTGTGGTAATGAAGTTTTGTAAATATTCGTTATATTTTTTATGAAAATATATTTAACATTGTCATCTATCTTCGGCTCGAATAGTCTTTTGTTTATATTTTTGATTTCTTTTTAATACAGAGCTTTTAAAGTGTTATTATTAATTTTTTAATATAAAAATTCATTTAACTTATATATATATATATATATATG